ACAGACATGTATCATCGAGGATACAGCACATGCACGGCGTGGGGTTTCAAGACACCTTCGTAAGATGAGGTGTCAAACATCAAGGCGCCAGATCGCTAACGCGGCGTTCAGACTCATCTCTGCCGCGCTCTCGCATGATTTTGCTATGAGCGCACTGCTTGCGCTGTCTGCATCGCATCTCGCGTGGCAAACGAAGAACCCAGACACAGACAATCTGGCGTACCACCATCGAGGAGTCGCCCTCAAGGGGCTCCACGAAGCCATCGGTGCGTTCTCTAGGGAGAATTCTGAAGCGATTCTCGCCGCCTCGATTCTCCTGTCGTGGCAGGCAACGGACTGGTGAGAATGACCATCCACACTCTTTTATGAAAGCTAACTAGAGACAGGCGGGGCTGGGCCTCCCTCCAACAAGGGGTGTCAACCGTACGTGCGCGCTACCTGCAATTGACGCGAAGGATGTTGACAACGTGCAGGTCATGAGTGCCATGCGGCAGTGGATACACGAGTCCGACCTGGCTCGGTACTTAGAAAACCAGAGGACAGTAGCTCGAGCTAGGACTCCGGCAACTCCAACCATGCCTCATGCGCAATTGTCGATCCCTCATGAAGACTTACGACGAGTCGAACAAATCACTACAGCTCTTCACAACTTGAGGCTGCGGCTCTCAACCAGTGAGGAACTTGCAGAGCACGCGGGACGGTTGGTCGATTACCTCCAAGACTTACAACGCGACTTGTCGACTCAAGCACCTGAGCAAGCATTCGTCCGCTTACAGCCATTGAGAGATCTGATCTTTTGGCTGCCACCACTGATTTTACGCGCAGGCGAGTCGGATTTGGCACCTCTAACTTTACTCTCACATCTTTACGCAAGCGCACTTGCCATCGAGCCGTTGTTTCCAGATATCGGTGGCGCCTACCTTGGAAGCATGTCCGTACTCCCACTGGAGCGAGTACACGACATGCTCAGAACAAGACGAACCACCCAACCTCAAGACACAAGCATCCAGGTGGCGTTGTCTCTGATAGATGTTCCTGTACAGATCATGACTTCGTACCGGCTAAGGCAAAGGCACAACAGCCAGAGTGGTCAAAGCATCGAGGGCTATCGCTATTCCCCCCAAGGAAGTCCCTACGCCGCGCCGCGGATGCCCATTTCCAGTACCGACGTACCGATTGCACCGCTCTATTCCAACTCACCCCTCCATGCACCTGGCATCCTGCCGTTGCCCGGATCCGCTTACTTTCAAGCTGCTCTAGGCCCGGGGGAACCGCGGCGAGAATCATCAATGTCATCTGTATCATCGCTCGGCCGCACTCATTCCATGAGTGATCGAAGTCTCGCGTCTGGCAGCCCACATGCAATGGCAATGGTATACGGGTCACCCGCGACACAGCATCCGCGAAGCAACCACGAGCTGCCAGGGTCGAGGATGGACTACTTTGGGCAAATTCAAGCACCGTACAACCCATACGGCAGCCTGAATATGAATACTCGGTTCGTCGCTCCTTCACAACTCTGGACTTAGACGAACACCGACTGAGTATTCTTCTTCCGCACAGGACTCCTCCGGCGACCACGTCTCCGTCGCTGCAGCAGTCACAGCAAGACAAGGGCAAGGAACGGCAACAGTGAGGATGGACCACATGAACACGATGACGTGAGACGACGGGCACCGACAATTCCAGGGGACTAATTCACGGGTATTAGCGAGGCGTTGAGAAGCGAGGTATGAAATCGGACACATGAAAAAGACAAGGCCACTGCGCCAGGAGTTTATGATTTTGACGATCAGGTTGGTGAAAATCTATACATGGCGGTGATCTTATGTCAAAAGCTTGGTGTTTGGGCGGTCACGCCAGAAGCAGATGAATCTGTCGGCTCGTTGGATGGCCCAGACATATCCGTTATGACAGAGAGGTCAATGTGCACGCCGTTATTTCTTTACATCCCAACTGATCTCAAGCCTGCCCGAAACCGCTGGGCGGCGGTCTCCCAGTGGCCAATGTGACGACTGCTCGTACTGACTGTACTGAAGAATCTCGATGAGAGCAGCGCTGCAGTGGCGGCGCATGATCATTGGTTGTTCCCCAGATATGCTCGCCGTCGGCTTGATTGCCTCCTTGTCCGGAACAAGCAACATGTTTCCTAGCGGCTGATATCCGCCGCCAACAGATGCTTGACGTTACGACGGGTGTGTGTGTGAGAAAATATTCTCGGCCAGGTGTTCGACACGACTTCTTGGCTCGTTATGGGATGACTTGTTTCCCGGGTGGTAAGCTGGGAACAGGGGTGCACGCGCCGCTTGGGCCCATGGCCCCAGAGCTGTGTATGACTCTGGCAGTAGGTGGGCATATGCCGGGGGCTCCAGATGTGACATATTATGGTCGTATGCTATGGCCTGGGGACGAGTGCTGGGGAAGCTTGAATGGATACACACCATGCGAGGTACATACCTACATAGGAAAGGGTCATTACTGTTCCGGGATCATAGCCCTGGCAATACGAAGGACGTGCTCCAACTGCAGCACCTGAGGCCGGAAAGTCGTCGATGTCGCGAAGCGGCCGCGTTACATCTGTGGCGAAACCGCAGTCCTTAGCCGTCGCCAACTTCAAAGGCGGCTGGGGACCAATAGGGCTTGTCGTTGAGAAGCACCAGTCTCGCATGGCATGGCATCGCATCGAGTAGCCTGCTCTAGAAGCAGGGATGTACTGTGCTACTCGTACTGTAGAACCGGGTCGTGTCTCGTGCTGCGTGATCGCACATGATAAATTTCCTGATGCGGTGGCCTCAACAATCCCACCGCTAAAACTACCCGAGGCGCAAGGCTTCACTGTCACTACGAGCTACGTGGTTAAGACTTGCCGCTTTTTCGGGGATTCCAGACGCCTTTTTCGCCCGTGGTTGCAGGTTACTCGGGCGGGTCAGACCCGTCATCGTCATCTGCCAGAGCCGGACGCACTGGGTGCGAGTACTGTACCGTGTACCTGAGCCCTGTGCTTCCATCCATGTCACTGGCTCGGTTCTAATTATACTACGTACGTCGTCCGACCCGCTCGAATTTGAAATGACGACGGGCGCAGTTTGACACGCGATTCACGATATTCACCACCAACGACACGAGCATTGGAAGTGCATCCCAACCTCGAAGCCGTTCTCCTTCCGGGCAATCAATATGGCGGAAGATGCGGCGAGCGGTGGTTGGAGCACCATCGAGTCCGACGAAGTAAGCATGCAACAAGTCGCCTGCTCATTTCACGGCTTGGGAGCACTGCTGACATGCTTCCTCAAATGCGCAGGGCGTATTCACTTCCCTGATCGAGCAGCTGGGAGTCAAGAGAGTGCAGTGTGAAGAGCTGATATCGCTGGACGCTGATTCGATACGTGCCTTGAGGTAACGAGAAGGTCGCGCAAGAACTCCACATCCGCCCCCCGAACGAGGTAGTTCTGCGATGCTGACATCTGTGTTACCGGCCACAGTCCCGTTTACGGCGTGATATTCCTCTTCAAGTGGATCGGGTCATCATCTGAAAGCAGAGCCGCTCCGCAGGACGGCACCTACGACACAACCGCAGTCGACGAGGAAGGGCTCTTCTTCGCGGCGCAGACCATTCAAAATGCCTGTGGCACGCAAGCCGTCCTCTCCGTAGTGCTGAACAATGACACGTCGAGTGCATCCGCCGGACCAGACGCCATCGATATTGGGCCATCACTGCAAGAGTTCAAGGACTTCACGACAGGCTTCGATGCCGGGTTGAGGGGAGAATCGCTGTCCAACTCAGAGATGATCCGGACGGTGCACAACAGCTTCGCGAAATCTAGCCCTTTTGTCGACGAGTCTGCGCGCGACCCAGGCGCTGCATCTGAAGACGTCTTTCACTTTATTGGGTACACATGCCATCACGGAAAACTATATGAGCTGGATGGACTGCAGCCGTACCCCATATCACACGGTGATTGCACGCCAGATGAGTTCCCCGACAAGATCATTCCTGTATTACAACGGCGGATTGAGCGATATCCGCCGGGAGAGGTTCACTTCAACCTCATGGCAATATGTGAGGACCTCCGAGTCAAAGCGTACAATTTCAAGGATAATGAACTGCTTGAGCGGGAGCAGCGGAAGCGGGCGCAGTGGGATTTTGAGAACGCGTTGCGGCGACATAACTTTGTCGGCTTCACGGCCGAGGTTCTCAAGGGCGTGGTCAAGATGAAGATCAAGGAGGGCACTTATGAGACGTGGATCGACGAGGCGAAGAAGACCACTGAGAAGCTACTGAGGGAGAGGCGGAAGCATGCTGATGCCTCATGATCGGATCGCAGCAGAGCTTCCACCGATACGTTGTCGAAAGCGACGGGGTCACGTTCACGCCTTGCAACTCATCGGGCCGCCATGCTGCTTGCAAACCACGAAAAGTCCCATAGACGAACTAGTCCGATAGACGTACTCCGTATTTCTGGACCCATTCCATGCTTGATCGGTTTGCCGTGTTTCTCACAAGTTGTCCCCGACGCTCCTGGATGTTCTGGTGAACACGTGACTCAACACGGACCTGCATCTACGCGTTGGAAATTGTGCACACCACCATCAATGTCCAAATTCTGATTGGCTGCATCGGTGGCGGAGGGTGCGCTCTCATTGGTGGCCGGGCATCACTAACTGCTCATTCTGTAAGCCCATTCTCAGCCATCTCAGCATACGCTGCCGCACCTTGAATGCCATGATTTCATTCAGACTGTTCTGTTCTTCACTCGTATAGCAGGAACAATACCCACTTGATTGGCTGACACGCGACATTCTGATCGGATCTTTGTGCGCACTAAGAATCGTACGGTCACTGCCTTTCTTCCGGCAGCTTTTACTTCTTGCCGCACAACTCCTTCTCTCTCTCTCATCCGGCCACCAAGCACCGCCCTCACAACCTCATTTTCTCTCCAGTTGCATGGGAGACAATTCAGATAGACTCCCTTGATCTACAGACCGGAGTTCTGGCCGCCATGGAGATCGACTCTCTCTGGCACTCCGCGTTTGGCGAAACTTCTACCCGGCCTGTTCTCTACAGTTCTGAAGAGCTCAACGATGAGGGATGGCGACCACTCACCGACCCCCAAGCTTTCATCTTGAATCTCGCCAAACTCAACCATCAACAGCTGTATGCTGCAAGTTCAAATAATCAGATCGCCATGAAAATCGCCCAAGACGAATACCTCGAGATCGAGGGCCAGATCGCAGCGATCAGAGGCAGGACTAGTCCCAGAAATCCTCAAACGCTGCAAGCACCAGATGAGTTCCAGGAAAGGCAGGAAGCTGCGTTGTACGGCTACAAATACGATGCCCATCGCCCTGCCCTGCTCCATGCCGGTATCCCTGGCCTCAGATCCGCTGATGACCTAAGCGAGCGCGAGAAGCAAGACGTCCGCTTGTTTCAAGAGCCATTTGAACAGGGCGGCTTTGTTCCCAAGGAACGCGAGTACAAGGCCATGGTCGCCAAAGCACGGGACCCCAATAACATCGACGGGTGGGAACCGGTCATTGACAGCACTGGCCGCCGACTGATTCCGAGACAACAAGTCCATCATGACGAGTACAACATCACATATGTTAAGCGCAATGTTGATGCGAACGGCGAGATTGTTCGACCTGTGTCTCCCGAGGGCAATGAAGCTCACCAAGGTGAAACTCCAGACAAGGCAGTCAACAAGCGCTTGACTAGAACACGCTTCGACGGCAAGAAGGTCCCAACCACTCGCGACGTGTCCGAGGATCCTTCTGCAGCTTCGACACCCCGTGGCCGAAAGCGAGGCAGCCCTTCTGGAGGGGACAGCCGGGAAGACACCCCCAGCTCCAAGCGTCAGAAAGTCGGCCTACCCGTCAACGGTGAAGAGCAGCCACGGCCAAAGCACCCGAATCAATACACCAAAGCCAAGGAACGAGCAGCAAAGGAGCAAGAGCCGACCGTGGCCGGCACGCCTGCACCCGAAGCTCCCACCAAAGCGGCCTCCACATCGAGAGTACACTGGCGAGAGTTGTCGGCGGAGGACAAATACAATCATAGTTGGACGAACGCAGAGTTGCATGAAGCGGTTAGAGAAGATCACTTGTGGCTCAATACCGACCCCGTCAAGGCAGAGCATTGGAAGAACAAGCTGCTGCAAAATGAAAATCCCATTCGAAGTTTCGCCATGTTCAAGAAGTGGCGTTTCTGGAAGCAGCGAGGTCTAGACAAGAGACCGCGGAACAAGGAACTCTTCAATGGAGACGGGACAACCAACAAGGAGAACGTGGGCACATCGCAGACTCAAAAGTCTCGACGACGAGCTGCCAAGCCGAAGAACGCCAGCGCCATATCCACACCAGGTGACACTCCGGCCGCCACGCCGACCCCGACCCCAGCTCCAGAAGTTCCCCGAGGTCGAGACACGCCAGAGCGAGCGGCAACCCCACCGTCGAAGACCAAAAGAACCAAGTTCCCTGGAAGCAAGAGAATGGATAGTGAAGTCCCTCAACGGAGAGGTTCGCAAGAAGAGACAGACAATACCAATGGGACTGCCGAGGCAGATCAGGCAAGCTCAGAGTCACGATCACCCAAGAAGGCCGCAGGGCAGTCCTCCGGAAAGCAAACTGGAAACGCAATCTATGCAACGGGGCGCGAACTCAGACGGCCGAGCTTGAAGCAGCAAGGAAGTGACTCAACCATCTTGGTCGCTAGTGGTACTGCAGCTACGACGAGTTCCAACGGCACGCCACCGAGGAGGTCCCTACGCATTCGGAGACCGAGTGCTTGATCGCAGGACGGAAGCCAGGAAGCGTTCACATGCGAGTAGAGAATGGTGATGTGGAGTTGGGCTCTGGGAATGCTTAGCTTTCCTGCAAGGACGCGGTTTGAAAGGAACACAGTCCTCGTGATCCGGTGAGAAGCAGATGTTGGGTGACGTGGTCGTGATTTTTATGGTTGGCTGCGCTGGACGTTTCCACTGCTCAGCGACGGCCAGTTGCAATAGACGTACAAATGAAATGGAACTGAAGGTCCAGGTGGAATCAGATAATTAGACAGTGAATGAATGCCATGGAGCTCTGTTCGATCCACCTTTGTTTCCACCGCTGTCCTCTGCCTGGAGCCTACGCGGTGTTCACAATCGCGCAGACTTCACTCTGTTGGCACATTGATTGATCCTGATCCTACAGCATCGCTGGTCCAATGTTCAGCAGCTGGTGGCGCCATCGCCTGAAAGAGACGCTTACATTACAGCGGCGGCTTGGCGGGCACGAATCCCTGTCAAGGAGCCTGACGGGGAATTTAAAGAAGAGCCCGACACCAAAACTCCTTCTTTCCATCTTCTTCTCCTCCTTCAGCGGTCCGTCTGCTTGTGCCTCGGCTTCCGCTGCATCTCGACCATGGCTTACGACAACTGTCGAGACCCTGATTGAGGGATCCTACTACATTCCGCGCACGCAGCAAGCGCATGAGGCGCGATGGAAAGTAAGGGCGCGTAACTCAGCCCGTCTTCGTCCAAAGCTGACCTCGCCGCTCAGAGTCATCGTCTTCCCTTCCACCTGGCCCCGAGAGACGCAAGAGACAGACCGTGGGACAGCGAGCTGTGGCCTGGGTGCGTCACCATGTCTACCCAGGCGTCGCCGGTCTCTCTTTCATTCAATGGCACTATTTCTACTTCGTCGCCTCCACGCTGGTCGCCAGTCTGATCTTCTGGGGCTCATCGACTCCGGCCAAGTCTGTCCCCTATATCGACAGTCTCTTCCTTTGCGTCTCCGCCATGACAGAGGCAGGCTTGAACACGGTCAATCTGTCGGAGCTGAATACCTGGCAGCAGATTCTGCTGTTCCTCCTCATCATCTTTGGGTCTGCCATTTTCGTGTCGTCGTCCATCCTCCATATACGCAAGAGGGCGTTTGAGAGCAAATTCGCGGAGCTTGTCGAGCAACGCCGGAAACGACAGCACAGGCCGCGCACACGTGCCTTCACCTTGTCAAGACGAGACCAGGGCCACTCTAATGGCCGCGAGTCCACCGTCGCCTCTGGAGCGTTGCGTGGGCGCCTGGTGGAGGCGGGTCCAAGATTCCCCGAGCATAAGGATGCCTCCAGCTTATCGGATCGTCCGCAGGATTTGGAGGCGCCCGCAGAGACACAGACTGGGTCGGGACCACCACATGTCACAGGCACGACCACCAATGACTCCCATATGGGCCACATCAGATTTGCCGAGTCAATCCCACCTGTGGAACGCACAGAGTCGCGATCTCGAAGCATGCGTCACAGCCCGAGTTTCTTCGAAGGCCGCGGTGTCGGTGCTCGAGGCTTGGACAACCACCCGCGGAATGCACGACCGGTCGAGATCCACGAGGCGACGCTGGACTGCGCCATCGACGACATTGCAGCGCAACCGGGCCCATGGGTGAAGAAGGTGCACAGCTATATCGACACGGTCGGGGGGTATCTGGGAAGAAACTCCCAATTCCACCATCTCAGCGAAAAAGAGAGGCGGAAACTCGGAGGGATCGAATATGATGCCATCTGCCTTCTGTCATGGCTGGTGCCGGTCTACCTGGCCCTCTTCCAGCTGTTTGGCGCTCTGGGGGTTGGGGCTTGGATAACGGCCAACCGTCCACACATCTCGTCGACGAATGGGTGAGTGATTGTCTCTTTCTCGACGTGGCCATGTTCCCCCTGACTATTAGTATAGGCTGAATCCCTTTTGGACCGGTGCTTTCTTCGCCGTCAGCGCTTTCAACAACAGCGGCATGGCTCTCCTTGATGCCAACGCCGTCGCGCTCAACACGAGCTATTACTGCATGTTGACGCTCAGTCTGCTCATCCTTGCAGGAAATACACTCTTTCCGCCGTTTCTTCGATTGATTCTGTGGAGTTTCAGCAAGGTGATGCCTGAGGATTCTGCTTCGGCGGAATGGCAGAGACGGCGGCGAACCGTTCAATTCTGCCTGGACCATCCTCGAAGGGTCTACACGAACCTTTTCCCCAGCGCAGCCACCTGGTGGCTGGTCGCCAGTGTGGTGGTTCTGAACGCCGTTGATTGGGTTGCGTTTGAACTCCTCAACATTGGAAATGAGGTGGTTGACTCGCTTCCTACAGGGTTCCGGATCGTTGCCGGATTGTTTCAAGCCTTTGCGGTGAGAAGTGGTGGCTTCTACGTCGTATCCATATCAGGGCTGCGGTCCGGGTTGCTCGTTCTGTACGTCCTCATGATGTATTTGAGCGCCTTCCCGGTCACGATGACGATCCGGAACACAAACGTCTATGAAGAACGATCGCTCGGCATCTTCGCAGACGAGCTTCCACTCTATCAGGACAACGAGGGGACAACATCGCAGAAGGACAAGAAGGAAGGACTCTTGACTGGGCTAAGACGCACCCTCACAATGACCCACGGCGGCCACGCGACACAGAACCCAACATGGAACCGTGAGGATTTCATCCGACTACAGCTCCGATCCCAGCTTGGCCACGACTTGTGGTGGATTGCCATCGCAGTCTTCGCCATCACGTCCATCGAGACGGGCCAATTCGAGCGGGATCCTGTCAACTTTGTAAGTACCCTCCATCCTGAAGAAGACCCGTGCCGATCTGGCCCACCGGGGATCCAGCCTGGTACTTTGTGGCGGCTGTGCTTGTCTGCTAACAAGGAAAACAGTCCACGTTCAACATCATCTTCGAAGTCATCAGCGCGTACGGCTGCGTCGGCATCAGTGTTGGAGTGCCCTGGAACAACTACTCCTTCTGTGGAGCCTGGCACCTGACGTCCAAACTTGTGCTTTGCGCGGTCATGCTTCGAGGCAGGCACCGAGGACTGCCCGTCTCGATCGACCGAGCAATTCTTCTTCCGGACGAAAGTCTGGCGTGGGCGGAAGAAGAGGATGCGCACAAGAGAACGACGAGCTTCACCTCCGAGGTTACCATGCGATCGGGAGAGGTACTGCGACCGGCGACGTCGGCAACCGCATCGACAAACGCGGCGCGTCGACCTAGATCTGCGAGCTCGGGTGCCCCGGGGCCGAGCATCCACGTGGACGACCACGCCAGGGGAGCCGAGCACGTCGTTTGACGGATGCAACTACTGTATCAGCACGAAGTGCAGCACTCTCCCGGGTAAGGAGTTTGGGGCCAGCTACTTCTGCGTCTTTCGTATGTCTTGGGTTGGTTCCGGGGGGTTTCCAATAGCGGGTTATATTTTGAGCGTTCGTCTGAAGCGTTCGTGTGGGCTTTCGTCTGAAAGTGTTCGTGTGAGCGTTCTATTAGAGCATTCGGTTCAGTTTCGTTCGCTATACACGGCATTTGCAAGGTACTTGGAGCAAGCGTAGATCTCAGGGCATCACCATTAGCAACGGCGCCCGCGTCAGCGGCAGCGGCAGCATTCGATATGGAAGAACATGTTACAAGGATTCACATCGAGCAAGACCGTAGGCTCAACCATTGCATTCATCCCCGGGACAAAGACAGGACAACGAACTCCCGCCACAATCCCACTGGCCCGTCGGCAATTGAAATCTTCGAGGACGGCGTACGAGACGGGCCCCAGCTCGGCAGATGGTAAATGATCACAATCGCGGAGAGAGACCCGATGTGCGCCGGCAGCCGACCGACCTCTCATAAAGACGTAGATGGGCGGCGTCAGTATCTGACTTGGCGGGGCTGCAATTGACTTTCTTCTTGGTGTGCTGTGCTGTAATTATATCTGTGTCGCGGGCCCGTTGCAGCTGATTGCAAGAAGCGTGAACCACGACGACGACGACGACCACCACCACCACCACCACCACCACCACCATTGTCGTTGTTTCTCAATCTCGACGGCCAGGATACCGTCGGACACTACGGAGAACACGCAGGAGATCTCCCCTCCGACACACCATACCTCTTTTACTCGCCCCTTAGTGACCACCTCATATATACATAATCTTGTATAGCGCGCGCAATCGCGACGATGGCCAAACTGCTCTACCCGACGTCGCTGGCCCTCGACACGGCCGAGCTGGAGGGCTTCTCCGTGTCGCTGCACGCGTACGACGTCAAGCAGCCGATCCCGGAGGAGCTGATCGACGCGGAGATCCTGGTGACGTGGTCCAACACGGCGGGCAACCTGACGGACGCGGCGAGGCGGATGAAGCGGCTGAAATGGATCCAGTCGCTGGCGGCGGGGCCCAACGACGTGCTCAACGCCGGGTTTGATAGCCAGGCCATCGCGGTGACGACGGGCAGCGGGCTGCACGACCACACGGTGGCCGAGCACACGCTGGGCCTGCTCCTGGTGGCGGCGCGCAAGTTCCACGAGATGCGCGACCACCAGCTGAAGACGCCGCCGCAGTGGCCCGCGCACCTGGGCGGCGCCCAGCCGGACCGGCCCAAGGGCAGCTTCACGAGCCTGCGCGGCGCCCACGTCGTCGTCTGGGGGTTCGGCAACATCGCAAAGACCCTGACGCCGTCGCTGCGCCTGCTCGGCGCCACCGTCACGGGCGTGGCGACGCGCCGCGGCGTGCGCGACGGCGTCGAGGTCTACGCCGAGGACGAGCTGCCCCGCCTGCTGCCCACCGCCGACGCCCTCGTCATGATCCTCCCGGGCAGCGAGGCCACCAAGCACGCCCTCAACGCCGAGCGGCTTAAGCTGTTGCCCGCCCACGCCTGGGTCGTCAACGTCGGCCGCGGAACCTCCGTCGACGAGGACGCCCTGTACGATGCCCTGGTCGCTGGCGGCATCGGCGGCGCCGCCCTCGACGTCTTCAAAGTCGAACCTCTCCCCGTCGAGAGTAAATTGTGGAAGGCCCCGAATTGTTTCATCAGTCCCCATGCCGCCGGCGGCAGGCCGCAGGGGAGTGAGAGGTTGATCGCCGAGAATCTGAGGCGCTTTCTGGCCGGGCAGCAGTTGAAGAATGTGATTTGACGAGGAAGATGTCGAGAATAGACTGGAGGGCGTCGAGACGGGGGCAGACATAGGGAAGAAGAGAAGAGAATAGACTTGAGGTTCCTCCTTTCTGCTCCGTCGTCAACCTTGCCTACAGGATCCCTAGATAGGAAGCAGGCAAGCTTTGTATGAACGCGCGTGGCCAGAAGGAGGACATTCTTTCTTAGATTGGCAGCACCATGGGGCACATGGCTGTCATCCATTCCATGCCGTCTACCTAAAGTATGTACATACTGTAGGAGGCAGCCGCGTCTCTGCTATCCACGATGGATTCATAGAGCCATACCCAATCTCTGTGCACCTACACTGCCCTTTAACTTCAACGCGTCGCTACAACATGCCGTAGACCGTCCAGAGATGAGATGTATTAGACTTCTGAGCAGACGCTGTTGGCAATGTCCAGCCCTCAAACAGCCCTGTTCTTTGTGCGTATGTACCTACCTAGGCATGTATAGGGAGTAGTTGAGGACAAACTAACTGCCACCTGTTTGTCGCGGCCTTGCATGTCTTCCGTTTATAACCACCGGTTGGCTGCCTGGATTGCATATCGCCCCGTTTCTTCCAGAGTCTATACAACGCGGCGGGATCTCTTGTTTGCGTGCTGTCAACAGCTTTGTCGCACAGCAAACATGTCTTCTGCACAGCAATATATATCGGAGATCCCGCACCGCCTCTCGAATTAACATCTGTCCAAAATCCGTGGCAAAGACCGGTATCGATACAAAGTGATCCCGCAGAATCGCGCCGCTGACATCGACCACAGCATCGTCCCTCAACACAAACATCTGGCCCCGTCAGATTCATCCCAGTTCTCCACAATGCTCACTGTCCTGGGCGTCCCCATCCGGGCCGCAAATGCCACCACAATCGACCAGCCAACGCCAACAGACCTGGAACTCCTCATTGCGCTCAGCAACACAGTGATCTGGCTTTTGATGGGTCTGCTCCTGTACATCCAGATCCTGGACAATCGCCGTGTCGAAGCCCGCCTGGTCCAACAACTCGAGATGGAAAGACGCACCTTTGCCGAGCTGAACCGCGAACGGAGGGAGCTGATGCAGTCGTGGAAGCAGCGTCTGGAGCGGATCGCCGAGGAGGACGAGCCGATGGAGCAGCAGGACGGCTTTGACTTTGTGCCGGAGCAGACGACCATCCAGGGAGCTGGATTGCATGTCGAGGATGATCTTCTGAAGGCCATGGAGGATGAGTTGACGGAACCGCGGGAGGAAGAAGATGAGATTGGCAGCGAGGATGACGATGACGATGACGATAGGGACGACCTCGAAATGGTGCGCATGCCGGCGAGACAATAGCCTGATGGTGAGCGTGAGGTGGCGGCGGCGCATGGTTGATGACTGCCGATCATGATGGCACCGTTAATGCTCCCATGAGATGCAAGCTGGCTCGCTGGATACCATCGCTTTGCAGGAGCTCGATAGAAGCAACCTCTCGTAACCTTGCACTTGACCTGTGTTGGCTGGAATGGTATCACGAAGGAGTGATTTCGTCCCCCTCTTGAGCTCCTTTGGGGTTATATGCTGGATGCGAATAGCCTGTTAGGGAGCGGACCTCAGACTGAAGATTGAAGACTCCTCTGCCGTTTAAGCAGTAAATCAACCCGCTTCACCGGAACCACCACCCTCCACCTTTCGCTTCCTTCCCCTCCAGCTTCTTCGCGTCGTCCATCTCTTTCTTCTTCCTTTCGGCCTCGATCCGCTCCTTCTCCTCCTGCCGTCTCGTCAACTCAATCACCTCCCTCCTCCTTTCCTCCACCTTCACCAGTGCCTCCTCCTTCTGCCTCCGCCGGGCAAGGATCCCCTGGAACCATTCCTCTCTCGCGGCATCCTCCTCGGCCTTCGTGGCATACTGAATCATACAGCTGTTCATGGCCAGATGCTGGTCCTTACAATGCCACGCCACGGAAATGGTGCGACCGCGCGCGCAGTCGGCAAAGTCTTTGATGACATCGGCACATCGCCGGCGGGCGCGTTCGTGGTACAGTCTGCGGACTTCCTGTTCTTGGGCGGGAGAGAGAGGGAGCGGGTTGCGGAGGTTGTTTTGACGGGTTGCCGGAGGCTGTGATGAGGTCGGGGGCTGGACGTCGGCGACGACTGAGGGAGCCATCTCCATGGCTATTGGTAACACCTTATTCGAGATACGAGTCTTCACAAGCGAGTGTAACGCGTTATTTATCCATGGCGACAAAGACTCATAGTCGAGGAGCTGTTGGATTGTCGAAGTGGTGAGCTCGAACTGAGGTGAAGGTGAAGGTCGAGTAGCAGAAGAAGTGGAGAACCTCGTCCTCGTCCTCGTCATCTGCAAAGAGCCTCGAAATTATTCTCCATGTCCGTTCGATTTTGTTTACACCCACTTCCAAAAAAACATCACCATCTTCACCTTCACACTTTCGACTGCTCCGCGGATTCTGATTTTCCTCCCTTCCCACACTCTCGAAATGTCCTCCCTCCGCAACGCCGTCTCGCGGCGGCCGCACAAGGAGCGCGACCAGCCCGCTGCCCGCCAGAAATGGGGCATCCTGGAAAAACACAAGGACTACTCGCTCCGCGCGCAGGACTATAACCTCAAAAAGAAGAAACTCGCGCAACTGTCGCAAAAGGCGCGGGAGAGAAACCCCGACGAATTCGCGTTCGGTATGATCAGGGACGGGCATGCCGGGCTGGGGAAGCATAAATCCAAGCACGGCGACGAAGACGCCAAGGGAATCGTGCCTGGCAGGCCACTCAGTCACGATGCGGTGAAGCTGCTCAAGACGCAGGACGCGGGGTATCTGAGGACCGTGGCGGCCAAGGGGCGGAGAGAGATTGAGAGGTTACAAGAGGAGGTCGGCATGGATGCTGTCTCTCTGGGAAAGGGACGGCTGGGGAAGAAGACATTGTTCGAGGACGAGGAGACCAAGGGAGCACCCAGAGGGCTCAAGCGCGGGTTGGATGGCCAAGTAAAGCAGGATTCACGCGTCGGTGACGAGCAAAGTCCGCATGTCGAGGAATCCGAGTTCGCTACATCGGTCGATGACCAAGCGCCGAAACCAAAGTCTAAGAAAGCGCTGCAAGCAGAGAAAGACGCCCTTACTCGCCTGAAGGCCGAGCGAAAGAGGAGGAAGCGTCTACAAGAGATGCGGGTGGCGAAACTTGAGGCTTTGAAGAAGAGACAGCGGGAAATCCTCGTGGCGGCGGCTCAGTTGGAACTACAGCGCGCAAAGATGGCGAGGACGGTAGGCGGTGTCAACAAGGATGGAGTTAGGTTCAAGATCAGGGAGAGGAAGAAATGATGCCAGCATGATGATGATCCACGGACCCGACCGAAACACGAGTGATGAGTGATGCATCTGATTGCGACATACACAAGGATATCTATGCGCTGTTCTTTCGTAGACCAGGGAGGTCAAACCGCCAGTCTGTAACCGGCAATGCATAAGAACTCCAGACTGAGTCTCAAACACCAGCGGCCACGGCGGCGGTTTGGACATTGGTGAAGTCTGCTTCTCTACCCAACAACCACGCCATACCCTCGACCTGCTCTTTGCGGAATTTCTCGCTTCCCTTGAGGAACGGGAAGAAACCCCAATGGAGATGGGGTAAACCGGGATAAACGTACAGTTTGGTTTTGACACCATATTCCTCCCGCAAGACACGTTCATAAATGAGGGCTTCGTCTCTCAGCGGGTCCATACCATCAACCTGGAACAACGCTGGAGGAAGATCCTTGTGGCCCTTGGGATGGTTGAACGCAGCATACCACACCCCGTCGTCCTCGTCGGGCTGGTATGCTCGCATGAACATGTCAATTGCGGCAACGGGGAGGACTGGAGCGTTCCTGTTCTGTTCATATGACAAGGCGTATTGCTGGTACTTGGCCGGTACTTTCTTCTCCGGCAGCACGGCTGGGATGGCGAGGTATTGTCCCGTCAGCGGCGGTGACAGCTTCTCATCTCGAGCCACGTGGGCCAGGACGGCGGTGATATTTCCACCGGCTGAAGTGCCCCCAATGACGAATCCCTTGGACGGGTCAGCACCCCAGGACTTTGCGTTCGCTGCCGCCCATTTCAGACAGTCCCACGCATCCTTCGGAGCGAAGGGGAATTTAAAATCTGGTGCCAGTCGGTACGAAGCGGAGATGCAGACGGCGCCAAAGGCCTGGACAAAGTTACGGCACGTCTGCTCCTCGCCCTCGGGTGCTCCGATGCAGAACCCGCCGCCATGGTAAAGCACAATCAAGGGGCTACCGCTGCTGGGTGGGTTTGTCGGTTGATAGAGCTTCGCGCGGAGCTTGGTGCCATCCTGAGTGGGGTATTGCAGTTCGCTCTGCTTGACTCCCGGTGGCGGTTGGCCGAGAGCCTTCATGGCATCTTCGTTGCGCTTGTCCACCATGGCCTTGAAGTCAGTGAGATCCGAGTAATCCGGTGGCGGCAAGTTGGCCTTTTCGAGGAACTGGACCGTTGTCAGCGACAGACACGACCACCCGCGACCCTGATGGACTCACAGCCTGAAACTCAGGGTCGATCTGCCCGAGAGCGAGGATGGATTCCTTGTCTGTGTACGACATGATGGTAGTAAGGTCCCCTGCTATGATGATGCCGTCTGGGGCTCAAGGAGATCCTGGCACGAGTCAGCTGGAGCGCAGAGTCTGCAATGTCTTCTTATAAGTCTTGAAGATTGTCCTGCACAGAAGGCCTGATGACAAGGTTCTCATTGATCCAACAAATACCAAAGATGCAATGGACCGACGTGTGCTATTCTTCAGTGTTCCGTGGTACACCTTGCATGGTGGAGCTGGGCTCGACCTCAAGATGACCTCGGCATTTGCTGTGTTCCCTTATTTGATTTCACACCACGTTGAAGCCATCTGACTCGATAGTCGACAGTCTCCATTGTTCGAGGCCGCACAATGCGGGGTGTACTGGGTTCAACACTGCCGGTCGGGTATAAGAGTCATGCCGCGTGTGTGTGGAAACAGTGAAGGCCCTCGGCACAGGGAGGAGCTTGTCTGGCCGCGGCCAGCCACGAGCCGCCGTATACCAAGCCGTACCCTTCGTGGTGAATGAAGAGAAGTGACTCCATGCCCACCCAAAGAGTGATATGCGTCTCGAATGAAGCCAGCTCTATACACACGACTGCAGGTGTAATGATCCAAGTCGTCATCAACGAGGGCGACGTCCGTAGCTGACAGGAGTCTCCTGATTGGATCGAGCATACGGAGCACTCAGCGTAGACATTATATCCGAAGCCGGACGGAGTAGCTTGCTGGACTCTGCTGGATACGAAGTACAAGCTTCCGACCCTCGTACCCGAGCCCCTGGCTTCTCATTCAGGCACGATGAAACAATGTCGCGACCATGCTCGAATTCACGTGGGATGATCCAAAGGCCAGCAGCTGCTGCGGCACGAATCGAGCACCCAGGTATATTTGCTTTTGCCAGCTCGCCCATCGATAGCTCCAAACAGAGGCACTGTAGTATGATGTCTCTGCCTGCATCCAGAGGGCGGGACCGACAGCACGGAGGCGTTGGCCCCGAGTCCCTGACAGTCGTTGCATCGCGACAAGCCACCAGATTTCTAGCCGCGAGCCACTAGCCCCAAGGCGGCAAAGCCGCCTCCAACAGCCACTCTCGGGGAAGAAAACTGTGATAGCCCGGCTGGAGGGGCCTCCCAGTCCACTGGGCGCCAACTGCATTGCTGCCGGAGCCATCTGGGCCAGAAATGGCAGAGTGCGTGGTTTGGGAGCACCGTTGGGACCGTTTTGGTAAGACTGGCGTGATTCCGCGACACGGTCATGGCGGCGCCATCCCGCGGCAACGGGTGAGGGATGCTCTTAGGGCGTTCGATGGTCTTCCAGTTGTTCGAGCAGTGGGCTTGCGGGCAAGGGAACCAGGGGGCATCCGGAGAAGAGTGGGAGCAGGAATCCCAGCAACGCTGTTGCCAATCACCAGGGGCAGGGATGAGGAAGCGATGGGGGTGAGGGAATGCATGAGACAGAAGGAGCCTCCTACGACGATCACGGAGACGTAGCACCTCGTACATAGACGTTGAGGTGATAGAGAAGCACCACCGGCACACAGCTGTGACTGCACACCACGCCCACGCCTGTTACTCCAGACAGACAGACACACAGACAGGTTTAGTTTCGATCTGGCCTGCGTCGCTCTCTCGCACTTGCACCTGCATCTGTGCCCAGTACAGTATCGCCGGCACCCGCATCGCACGTCGCCGCTCCACAACTCGAACGGTTTGCGTTTGGCGGGCTTTTGTGCTGCGAAAGCTTTTTTGCCCGGCCTCGTCTCGATCGCATCAATTCACCTCTCTTCCACCCCCCAGCATTAGCGGTACACAAGAGGACACCACTTGACTGTCTGTGTCTCTCACGGTTGCTCGTACTGTTGATTTGAGATTCCGCCTGCCGCTCCTGGTGCTTCCTCGACCCTCGTTCGCTCATTTCGCGCCTATCCCTTGCTCACATGCCAGCGATTGGCTCTCTTTGCACGACGACGACCAACCACAACACCGCATTGCTATATCCTCGACTGATTGAGAGATCGTCGAGCCAACAATAGCAGCAACCATCTCTGGGCCGCGAGCCTCGTACCATCACGCCTCCATCGCTCCCTTTGTCGCCGTCCTATCGGTCTCGTCAGGCCGTCTGTGTCGTGCAACTCGGACGAGGAGACTGTCAAACGTGGTTTCGCTTTGTGGTATGCTCGATTGTCCTGTTTTGCCTCCTTGCTTGCCGCCTGCCCCGGTACTGACCCCTCTGTCTCAGACATCCCTCGTTATACGCCAACTTGCGCTGGTTCGCCTTCTGCTACGACAGCCCCTCCGGCTGGACTCACGGTCCCTACTCGAACTTCTCCACGCGTCTCCCCAGAATTTCTGTGCCGGGCTCTCGTCCTGGCAGTCTTGTCGTCGCTGGTGTCGCGCCATCAACACTCGACGGCGCGCTAATCACTGTCCCCCAGCGATACATGCCGTAACCCATCCTCTCGCCCCTTCCGCGCATCAACTTCACCCCAGGCGCGACGAAGTGGTCCAGCGATCATGTTGGCATCGCCGCCAACAATGAACGGCGACCATGGACCCATCTTGGACAAGGACAACATTATAAATGTAAGAGATGGAGAATCACTATATCAGATATGCATCAAACTGCGCCGGCGCTTGTCTGGCGTCCCTGGCTTCCGCCCCTACCTCGACGAGATGGAAGAGCGCGAGGCGGACGGGTTGACGGATCCCGTCTCCTCCCTGTGGCAATGCTTCCGGAGTGGACTGCCATTGCTTACGATCTATAATGCGTCTGACCCGGAAGAAGGCGAGCTTGTGGTTGGCACGAGTCGCCCAGATAGGGTGGGGAAGGAAGCTGCCTTCCTCTTCATCAAGTCTTGCATGCAGAAGATGAACATCCCGGCAGCGGACACCTTCACAGTCACCGACTTATACAGCGATAACACCACTGGGTTTGTCAAAGTAACGAAGCTTGTCAATCGCGTGCTGGATATGCTGCGACTGAGTGGCAAGTTACATCCTTCCACGGATAGCGAAGACTCCCGGGATGGGATTGACGCTGCCTCGAATGCTCCGGAACAAGCGCCAAAGTCGATGACTCGCAGACAGTATATCTTGAGGGAACTCGTTGAGACTGAAAGGCAATATGTCCATCACCTGCAGAATTTGCAGGCCTTGAAGAAGGAATTGGAGGAAGTCGGCGCGCTGACGGGCGATGCCATTCACAATATTTTTCTGAACCTGAATAACCTGCTGGATTTTGCGCAACGATTTTTGATCCGTATTGAACAACAGAATGAGATACCCGAGGACCAGCAAAACTGGGGGCAACTGTTTGTCCACTACAAAGACCCGTTCAGGCAATATGAGCCATTCATCGCCAACCAGAGGAGATGTGAAGCCGCTTGCCAGCAGGAATGGGACAAGATGGTGGCTCATGCCCGATCGACACTTACGCAGCAAATGCTCGCCAACCCAACCATTCTGAACGGATTTCTGCTCAAACCATTTCAACGGTTGACGAAGTATCCGTTGTTGCTGAAGGTTAGTCTATCGCGATGGCCCGTATGAGTTGTAATTGACTTGCCTAGGATCTTCTCAATCAAACGGAAGACGAACAACTAAAGTCCGACTTGACAAACGCCATCGCAATTATTCAAGACGTGCTGATGCAGGCCGATGCTTCTATCGACAAAGAGACCAGGGACGACGCTCTCCAAGATTTGCAAGAGCGGATCGACGATTGGAAACAACTACAAATATCTTCGTTCGGGGA